CGAAATACAATACGTAGTACCAATGACGATGAAGATACCTCAAGATATCGACTAAAAATAATATGGAACGATTTGAAGTTGATGAATATTCATAAGTTAAATCTTATAAGTTTCCAGCCACACGTCGAAATTATCAGGCGTTTTTATAAGAAAGATGGCTGAAGATCTGGAATAACCACAATCCCGTTCAGTCAAATACTTCACAATTCCTCTTGATGCAGGTCCATCAAGGGGAACTGTGAAGTATTTGACTGAACGGGATTTTGGTGATTCTTGATGCAGGTCTGATGGACTTTTGTACCATTGTTTTTTTTTGCTTAAACGTGGCCTTGGAAAGTTTTACAAGATGTTTGGTGTAATATTCACTTCGTCGACCTTGGGAGAAGTGTGCTACAACGGAAATTTCGATGGCAGCTGGGCAATAGTACAAGATAAGGGCCATCAGACTGAGTACTGTCGACCCAAATTCTCGTCACGTGGCTAGCTCGGCAACCCATGCATTCAAATAGTTCAATTGAAATATGATATATGACTACAAAGGAAAGTTCTGACAGTCACAGGAGACCCTTGGCGACCCACCCAAAGTATAATATATGACTACAAAGGAAAATTATGGCAGTCACAGGAGACCCTTGGCGACCCACCCAAAATATAATACATGACTACAAAGGAAAGTTCTGACAGTCACTGGAGACCCTTGGCGACCCACCCAAAATATACTATATGACTATAAAAGAAAGTTCTGACAGTCACTGGAGACCCTTGGCGACCCACTTAAAATATAATATATGAATACAAAGGAAAGTTCTGACAGTCACTGGAGACCCTTGGCGACCCACCCAAATATAATATATGACTTACAAAGGAAAGTTCTGACAGTCACTGGAGACCCTTGGCGACCCACCCAAAATGACTTGACGACCCAGTTTTGGGTCTCAACCCAAGAGTTAAGAACCACTGGTGTAGAAAGTATTACAAGGGAAGCATAGGATTGAAATATAATAAAGTACAATTAACAACTCAGTTTATTTGCTAAGAAAAGCAACCGATTACATTTAACGAAGAAGACTAAAGCTCAGTTAGAATAATGTAAAACCTGTACACCATACAAGTATCTAATTACATCGTATTAAGGCAGGTACTAACCCAACTATATTTCCATATGATTAAGTTTATTTGTTTGTAATTATGCACAAAACTACACAATGGGATATCTGCGCTCTGCCCACCACGGGTATCGAAACCCGGTTTCTAGCGTTGTAAGTCCGCAGACATACCGCTGTGCCACTGGGGGAGCCACGAATATTGTTTGTTTGTAATTAAGCACAAAGCTACACAACGGGCTATCTGTGCTCTGCCCACCACGGGTATCGAAACCCGGATTCTAGCGTTGTAAGTCCGCAGACATACCGCTGTGCCACTGGGGGGTCCATATGGTTAAGAGTTCATGTGTTCGTAGATAATCACTTAACATTCAACCATTCTGATTTGTATTCCAGTTTAACTCCTCTAACAGACATTCACGATCAAGCCACAAAAAGGTGATGAACTAGGTACTAATGGTTGTAAAACGCTTACAGTTTTAGTCCAGACTTTAAGGTTTTCATCGTGACATGTTGTAATAACTTTAATGATTAAAACATTTAACCTGAATGAAAAGTTTACTTTTCGTGACATATTTTTCTTAATTTTAACTGCGATGTTAGTTTGAACGTGAACATATTAATAAGCCAGATTCAGAGTTCACTCAGTTCACATTAAACGGCTTTACTTGTCTTAGGATCTGAGTTCCATATCAGCACTTTCATTCTTGAAGTTTTTTTCTGTTTCGCCCACCTCCCCTTTTATGAGAGAAATATATTTATAACGTTATAACCTTATTCAATTATCGTAGGAAAGCTTATGTTCATCCAACCAGGATGAGATCAATATGCTTATCTGGTAACATAAGGTTATCAGCAGTTAACAGCCCTCGTGGTCAGCATTAGACGTGAAGGCGGGAAATTGTTGGTGCTGAAAGAGAGAGACATAGAGAGAGAGAAAAAAAAATTCCTTTTCCAAACATTTACTCGATACTTTGGTAAAATGTCAATATGTTTCCCTGGAATATATGAAGAGGGCGGGGGGGGGGGCTAAGGGCTTCAGTCGTTTTAAGATTCTGCGCCAATACCGATCGTTAAATTTCTAGTGACATTCTGGTAATGCGGCAGATGGTTTCAAATCTCTGACAACTCCAACCCGACGAACTTATCAACCTCGCTAGCGAAGAAAAGTTATAACTCACGACGAGTGTGTCGCTGTAGTCATCAATCTAAAATGAAAAAGGTGCGTAAGAATATATTTAGGTTAGGTAAAATAAAATATTAATTAAGTTATATTTATATATCAAATTGCTAATTAAACCTGAATATTTTCAAAGAATATCGGTTGTATTAAAGGAATTTTTGTATTTAATGTACAGTGTCCACTAAATGTAAAAAATAAAATAAAATAAAATAAAAACAAACACTGTTTTCAAATATAATGTAAGGAAAAAAATTCATATTAACAGACAATACAGGAAAATTAAAAATACGTATATAATAACTTATACGCCATATTTCCTTTAAACTAGATGGCGCTTAAGAATGAAATAGAACAAAATGTCCATAGTTTTCGGGCAAATCTATACAAAGCTATTTGCGGATAACCGGATAACCGTCCGTAATGCTATACTATACAGATATACTGAAAGCCTGTCAACATAACCCACCCAATAATTCTTTGCTATTCTTAACTAACCGGAGCTCTCCTAGTGACACAGCGGCATGACTACGGACTTAAAACGCTAAAAACCGGGTTTCGATACGCGTGATGGGCAGAGCACAGATAGCCCATTGTGTAGCTTTGTGCTTAACTACAAATAAATAAACAAACCGGATTGTGGGATTTGATCCTCGGTCTTATAGCGTACTCCGGCTCCAAGGTGTAGACCGCATTTTGAGGCAAAGAGTTGAGAACCACGAATCTTTGGAGTCACAATCCAGGAACGATAAACATAAGGCTAAACCCAGGACATGAGGTACTTAAAAGAGAAACTAGATTTAGGTATTTAGTCTCCTTTGTTTTATTTTCTATTTACCAGAGGGAAGAAACGACGTCCCTCAGAAATGTATCAATTATCTTTGTTTTTCAGTCTGATATTATTCTAGTGTTTTGTCTTATAAAAAAGTATTAAACCTTTGGATTTTGATTTTGTTCTATTATTTTAGTCTCGGACAACCCAGTAACTTGAACATTTTTACGTGTAAAGTGTTTCCACCTACGGGTTTCTTTATTCATTTTTATATTTAGCTTTTTTATTATTTCAAACTTAGAAGTGTGACAGACTAATGCACTAAGTTTTAAAAGAAACTGTTTGATTTAAACATATTACTTTTTTCTTATACATATTGCTGAAAAATGATCACATCGCTAAAGAACAAACACACGTTAACATTCTTTTATTTCTTCATTGCGTCTCTTATACATATAATTATCTAACCACAAATACCGCTATTCGTTATAATATAGACATGATATGGTCGGGTGGTCAGGGTGCTCGACTCGCAATCTGCTGGATAGCGGGTTCGAGTCCTCGTTACACCGAACATGCTCGCCATTTCAGTTGTGGGGGCGTTATAAAGTGACGGTCAATCTCACTATTCGTTGGTAAAAGAGTAGCCCAAGAGTTGGCGGTGGGTGGTGTTGATTAGCTGCCTTCCCTCTAGTCTTACACTGCTAAATTAGGGACGGCTAGCGCATATAGCCCTCGTGTAGCTTAGCGCGAAATTCAAAACAAACAAACCCTCTAATCAGAGTTTACAATTATTGTTAAGTATAAATATTATTGACAGTGATTGTTTATATACGTATGGTCAGTTTTGGTACATAATACGCGTTTTCTTTCTTTTTTTACAGGTCAACTTCTTAAGTTCAGTACTTCTTTTAATGCAGTTCACGATGACCCACTTTAGCGATGCACACCTCCAAGCAACTTTTGTGGACCGTGAGTAGCCTGTTTAAATTATTTTTTCTATGCTTACTCCAAACTCTGAAAATTCTATTACTCTGATCAGGAAAAGAAACTTGGTTACCAAGACTTTTAAACACGAGTTTGATCCGGCATGGCCAGGTGGTTAGAGCGCTCGACTCGCAATCTGCGGGTCGCGGGTTCGAATCCCCGTCACACCAAACATGCTCGCCCTTTCAGCCGTGGGGGCATTATAATGTGACGGTCAATTCCACTATTCGTTGGTAAAAGAATAGCCCAAGAGTTGGCGGTGGGTAGTGATGACTAGCTGCCTTCTCTCTAGTCTTACACTGCTAAATTAGGGACGGCTAGCGCAGATAGCCCTCGTGTAGCTTTGCGCGAAATCTATAACAAACAAACATTAGTTACTGTAAACTCAAACCATGTAATAAATAAACATATTATGTAGCAACATGAGTTACATTACTAGAATTACACATATATCTCTCTAATTTTATC